ATGAATATCGCGAGATATATCTTTTACCTAAAAAAAACAGACAAAAACCATTCTTCAATAAACACATTTATAATATGCAATATTATAGATATTTAGCCCATCTGGTTTTTAAACACAAGAGAGGCGTCTCTCTTGGAGTTAATGACTTTGGAATAAATTAGGAATAAAAACCATGAATTATGTGCAAGTAATACATCCCGAATGGTACTCAGTAAGCCGAGGGATGGACTCAAGATTTCGGATCTTGCTCTGGAGTTTGGACGCAGGGAGGGTTCAGACAGTCGCCTATGTACGCCCTGAGTGGCGGTAACGCAGCGTTGTACTGTGATGTTATTAAAAAATATGTCCTTATCCATTTCGTGTACATACTATTGTTGTATTTGTATTTAATTTAATTGTGTGTTATTTATATGAAATATTATACTGAACTAGTTATTCATCATAATTTCTTCTGCTGTGAAAAAAAAATAAATTGAACTTCGAAATTTGAACGCCCTAATAAGTAGGCACTTTGTTCTTGCTTCGCTTCTTCGGTCGTTTTTTATGCTTCTAAGATTGTAGTGTTATGATATTGCAGTAGCATTAGATAAATGTAGAAATATTTTTTGATATCAAGCTATTAGAGATTTGCGCGGAAACAAACAAACGCTTCAGCTATTGTCATACACCATATTACTGTAGATATCTATAGATTTAAAGAGTTCTCTAGAATTGTAAAATATTTTAAAGTATTTAGTACTATGTAGTTTTAAAATATTTACTCTACCATTCTATTTATTTATTTATAAGGGACAAAAGGCATTTTAAACTTTTACGTTATTACGTAATTTAATATTTCAATGTTTTCTTATTTATTGAATTAATGTAACCAATGTACCTATATCCATTATAATAAAGTGAAATTCCAGTTACTGGTTAATCACCAAATCTCCAACAATTTTGAACAGAAGCTCGTTATATAAGATAAGCATCCATAAAAATTAAGGGTTCTTGAGAATTTCCACTTGAATGAGAAGGAATGAGTTCTAAGCTAACGAAGATGCTGTGTTTGCAGATGCAGATTATAATACTTTAAAGCAGAATAATTATTAAAAAATATTTAGATTAAAAAACCTTATAATAAAAAGAACGTCTACGTTAATCACATGCAGTGCGGAATATTCAACGCATCTAGGGTCCACGCAGCAGCCCCTTCGTACTCTCGTTATTTATAATTTATTCCCTCAATTAATACATTTTGGTGATTGTTTGTGCCATTGTCTGTCTGCAAAGTTGAGAGATGGGGCGTTAAAGTTGAGATCGTTGCTTTTTAATTTTTCTCGATTTAAAATGTGATGCATATATTATATAAATAATTGGAATGATACAAAATAATAACAATAGTCCTATTACTAACATTATGTTTAAGCATTACAGTTATTCGAAGCACAGAGCAACTACTGCTATATAAAAGCTCAGATAACGTAATACTATAGTAGTAGTAAAAGGAAGACTGTTAGACCGTGTTTGTAATAAAATAGCACGACGGCAACTTTGAAACAACTTCTGAAATGCGTTCGTGTAAGAAAGAGAAGGCTTTTGTTTTTTCCAATATAAGCATATATGCTACGCTATAAAAATATACTATCTTAAATGTGACACGGACATTACTCGAACAAAATTAATATTAAACAAAAATCGAGATTGGAAATAACCTTACATTGATAACTATAAGTGTCTAGATCTCTACGAAGACGTGCGACGGTAGTCAGATATATCTGCCAATAATTTACCATATACCTGCTGCTCTTCAGTCTACGAGTAATTATGGTTGCAAAAGTAATAAAATTTCGGGAACTCAATAAAATGCTTTAAAAAGCGTTAATTATGCATTTTTATGTATATAAATTAATCCTTAATCCCATTATAAAATGTATGTAATTATACATACATTTTATAATGGATTAAGAGAAATCTTATTCACCGGTGAACCTACAGAGGCCAGATATAGCCAACAAAATTAGAAAGAAAATATATTACAACTAGCTCTTGCCTTGCACGGGTTTATGATGTATATGACGGAAGTACGTGTAGGTAAGTATACGGAAGTACTATGTTATATTATAGTGAGGATGTCAAATATATACAAGAATAATAATAATAATAATAATCTAAGGACAATTCTATTGTCTAGTCAAATACATAGATTACCATTACCATTACTAGTAATAGTACAAATACATGTTTTTTTATTATTTTCGTAAATACATATATATTACACATAGAAAACATCAATCCGATACAAAGAATCATACTTATATATATAATGTGTTGAATAGAATTTTGACTCAAACATATAATATTAATAACATACTCGAAGTAATAACATATTATATCGCAGGAAGTATCCGCTATTTCGTTGGCGTTGACTTAGATTTATTTACATAGGCTATTTTTGTAATAAAAAAATTGAATAATGTATGAGGGACTCATACATTCGTTTGACCAGCGGAACTGGACGTTAAAATACGTATAATGGACACTAAATTAAATCAACGTATTACAATATGTTGTTTTTACTACATTTGACTGTAGCAAAGAAATATATGTATACAGGGTTATCGTGTTAGGTTTAACAATCATGGCGATAATAGGTTGTCCTAAGAAATAAAGTAGTTATATGAAAATCTTTTTTAAATTTTCTTACAAAATTGATTTTGTTGATCGATTTTGGAAATGTGAATATTTGTTTAAATACAAATCGTGTTATATTATACTTGTATACTGTTGGCTAATGGTTACTTTTACAAATACAATGTATGAGTTACGCTTCAGTATACCCCTTAGATGCTTCTTTTCTTTTCAAGTATTTACTTTTTTATTTCATACAAAATTTGAGCGCGTTTGACCGCATGAAACACTGATGCTGAAAAAGTTCCACTCCTTTGCTTCTTATTTGATCATTACTTTGTATCATAATAGATAGGTGATTATTACTACCTTTGGTCTACTTTTACCCAATTTATAAAATGTAAAGAAAGCAGAGCGATGCATACAACTTAAGTAAATATAATATTTTATATTCTTAGGAATTCATCTCATCTATGTATTAAAAGATATTCTTGCGCTGCACAGGAAATGTAACTTCATTCTGTTAATTAAAGCATTGAAATTCAAGTAAAATAGTTTCAAGGTATTCTTAGTAGTAAAATATTTTCCAGTAAAATATTTCCGGTCCGAGATACTTGTTCCTAAAGTTTAAATTTCTTTCTAATTGTATTATTATACAGGATTACTTGTCGAAAGCGTATCTTAGTTCTCATGGTGCTTGCACAAATTCCTGAAGCTCATACAGTTTTATGGATAAAATGTACATGCAACTACTATACCTGCTAGATAGTATGTGCTTATGGTAGACAATTTATTTTACATTTATATTATTTTATTATTTAATGTGTAAGGCATCTGCTTAATTACAATCTCTCTAATTCTTTCCATCAAGCAACTGTTACTACCGTACTTGTGCTATAATTTGAAGAATGGAACTGTATTGAAATTATTGTACATTCTGACTAAAGATAATTTTATAAGGTTTAAGTTATAACCCTCAAGTGGGTACGCTCGGCCAAAAGTGAGAATGATTGGATCGGACCAACCGGATCCCTAGAATGACTGGTTCAACCGGGTCATTTACTAATTGACTTTTATCGACATAAAGAGATTCACTATACATCATAATCGTAATAATTTACCACACTATAAAATACAATTGTTTTTTTGGTACAGCATATTATGTTATCTGTGGTACAACTAATGATTTTTTGGTAAGTAAATAAACATTTATGTAAATCCACAGAGCTTCCACGTAAAGAGTCATGTTAGCACTCTAAATGTTTATTTTATCGATTTTCACACGGATTCCATGCAATGCATCCTACTGGTTACTAGTATAACATAACAGCGACAAAGTTCCAAATTGTTTGAATAAAATTACTGGGGAGCAACTTTGCTCAATTAATAATAATGAAAACGCCGCTGCCGATGGAACCCCCACTGTTGCATAAAAACTATTTTAGTTTGACACAGTTGCATTTGTGCGTTTTGGTGCATGGATTTAGAACTGTACCGTAGCTATACTATTTTTGTTTGCGTTAGTTCTGTTGTATTTTTATTCTGTTTCGTAGTTACAATCGATTAATTTTACGATCTGTGTAAGTGTAATATATGATCGTAAAGTTCCGCCGAGTTATCTCATTTATTTTCATAATTAACTTTGTATGAAGATCAACTAAAACTTTACAAATTTGGTCAAATATTTATTAAATAAGTATGCGAGTTTGATATTGCATAAAGTTATATCTAAATGAAGACCTAAGTTAATTATCTAGTAAGTATCTAAGGTTTAATTAAAGTTTGCCATACTTGGTCAAAGTGCTGGTGGCGAATCTCTAACATTCTACGTAGATATTGGTACGTACACATATATTACGAATTTAGGAAATAATGTTTCGTAAACAACTCATAGCACAAAAATAAGTTCAACAATACTAATAATGAATTTAATTGTAGGCACTCGAGTTGGTCATTACGAAACGTTTACCTAAGTCAATTAGTGGCAAAAGTTCTCGAATTGAGTTTTTTCTATAAAGGGGAAACGAGCTTTCGCAACACAGTCGGCCCCATATTCCTGTTGTTAACCATTAAAGTTGTAATTGCGACCTTACGATTCGCTGAACTGTCACGCCCTCGACATACCCCTAACGGATTTTTAATATACCCGAAATCGCTTATAAACAAAGAGTCTGCCTCTGGCGCCCTGCCGCCTTTAATTGCAGGTTTAGTGTCGACGTTCATTAGGATATGCAGGCGCTTTTTTAACGCGATTATGACGTCGCAGGGTTGGCGATTGCCGTCGAGGGTGCGCTGGGGGCGAGGAGGGCTGCGTCACGTGCGAGATCCGCACTCCGCAGCCCCACGCATGCGAGACCGCGGGGCGCCGGTAGCGCAGGCGCGCCCCCCGATGCCCCCTGCCCGCCAGTCCGCCGCCGGCAGCCGCGCGTCTCGCCCGTTGATGAAGCGCTGAGCCGCGCGTCGCGAGTGATCTTCAAGTGATGTCGACTTGTGACTAGTGCCATGCTCGTGCTGCGCTGTGCCCTCATCGCGGCACTCCTTGCCGTCGCCGCCGCCGCCTGGCAGGAGAACGTCAGGCCTAAGGTCTTCGCACAATTAGGTGAGTCCAACTGTATTCATAACACAAATGGTCGGTGTTAGTGAACTCAGGGCAACAATCGGCTTAATAGCCCTCCAAAATCGAGTCAGTGCACGCCATATACTCGCTAGGGCGAGGACACAGCCAACTATCTAATGTCATAATGCCTCTGTTTACGTTTGTTTTGTTTGATGACAAGACGCGAGCAAGCGCTCTCATTCAAAAGTTGTCACGTTTGTGTCAAAATAGCAATAGAAAACGTGCATATGACATTCATGACACGTAATAAACAAGACTAGTATCAATAAAACATAACATCTGATAATATTTTGTAGTGACAGGTTAGACTTTTGACGTTTGTTTAATTTTAACAAAAATAACAGTTTTCTGATTGGACAATAGGCAGTATTTAATGTTTACATCAAACAGTTGGTAGAAATACACTGAAAATTTGCATTAACATAGGAATTTTAGATATTCCTCGAAAAGTTCAAGTAGGTACTTAAAAGTTAAAAGTTTTAGAAAGTTGTATGTTGATGTATAAATACATAATACATGGCGAAAAACAGACGAATGTAATTTTCATTAAATAACAGAGAAAATAAAATGCACTAATAAACAACACTTAAATTGAACAAATACTTAAACTTTATAATATGGTATTCACACAATCTATTTAGGACTAGAAATGCGCCTTGCGGTACTCCGTAACTAGTCAGAGTCACGCGACAGTTAGTCCTGCAGGAATAAAGCCAGAGTGCACAATTGTAGTGGCATTGTTTTATTGTGCAGCCTGCATTGCGGGGACAGCCACGTGGCTCTCATTAGTACGACACAAAGCGTAGCAGTTTGTTCTGCGTTTTGCAATGTTACGCTTGGATTAGCGATCCACGCGATGCTTACTGTACTGTACAAAACTTTGTTCAGATATTCGCGTAGTGCTTTAACTAATATATTTTGTATTGTTGTAGCTATATTTTCATATAAATTATATAACAGAAATAACATGCATAACCAAACGAGACCAGAAGATGGCTCCTTGATTGAATATGATTTATCTAAATATATCTAATAATAAAATAAATTAAAAAAATATAGCTATAATTTTATAAATATTGTCTTAACAATTCAGTCGGATGTGAAGCAGTAAAATTACAGTAGTGTAAAGCTTATCGCCTGAAAAGTCTCACGTTGACTGTCACAAGTGCTTTGATTCCTTTGTTGAAGTATCAACAACTGTAGAAACAATCGTCTCCAAACGAGATCATCTATTGTTATCGCATATTGAATAGCGCAGAGAATACACATTGTGGTTTATTTTGTGATTTCATTCAATACGGTGTCGTTTAATTCAATATTAAATATATCTACCAGAATCTCAAAAACTTCGTTTGATTTTTAAATGATAACAAAAATAATTATATTCGCTCGATTTTGGTAATTAGAAGAAACATTCTGTTTTATACATTCTGTTTTATTTTGCAGTAGCCATATAGAATCATAAGATATGATAACGGGTCGTTCTGTACAAATATCAATCACATGTTTATGAAATGTTACGTTGATATTTATTACTCTTAGAATAATAGCTGCACTGTTTCGTTATTACGATGGTTTGTAATCTTAACAGATGACCCGCGCACCTTCGCCTGCATGACACTTACTTGTCATTTATTATATTATTCGTCCAATATACATAATATCTTTTTACATTATAGTCTGTATTATTCTGATGCTATATTATAAGCTATATTACTGTAAAGTTTCATCAAAATTTCGTTCAGTAATTTTTCGTTAAAGAGTAACAAATATCAATCCATCCATACTCGCAAGTTTTTGCGTTTATAATTATAGTAAGATACTTGATTAGTTAGAGACAAGTTATTATAACGGTCAAAGTACTCTGAGATGAGACTTCGCGAAACATGAGCAGTGCAATTGCACATAAAGCTTCAATTGATGAACAGTCTGCATTTAGAATATCTGACGTCATATACCGAGACGCGAATGTATCCGACGCATATCCTTTTGAATGCTTCCGGCCATTGTTATAACCATAACTTTAAATGCTAATGGCTAAACATTAACATAACACAATATTCAGTAAGTCTACAAAATAGAAGTGATGGAAGAATTCGTGAATTAGAATTCATTAAATGTAAGCATTTTAATAATATGACACTCCTACAGAATATAAATGGTTGTAAACATTTGGATAGTTTTATTATACCATTTGTTCCGCATATGAAGTGTGGCACTGTGGTTTGGAAAATTAGCACACTATTGATTTCGATACAAAACAAGACATATTTAAGATAGATATTTATTTATTAGATTCTAATTTAAACATTTAAGTATTAATTTTTAAATAGTGTTCTAAAATGCAGTAAGTAAATTCTAAGAAATGATTTCCTAAAACATAAACAGACTTAGACTTAACCGGCAACAGGCATTGTCCGATTACGGCATCAAAGAAGCCGTGATGGGACATTTCCCAGCAGAATAAGTCGTCTTCCAAGCACAATGTGTACAGTTTGCAGTGGGAAATTGAAGTCAGTGCACTCGCTGCACTTGATCATCGACACACTTACAAGTATGTGAATGAATCTGTTAGATGCAGTTTATACGAACTTAGTGGAACGAAGAACAAATTATAGCTATATAAAAACGAGGAATTTCATCAAGCTTCTAGACTAAATCTACAAAATCGAATCGTTGAATAAATACAAGAAAATAAATGACTCTAGTAACAGGGCAAAGATAAGAAATGAAAATAACGCTCTGAAATATTTAGAGATGCTTAGATATGTAGCCATTTTAATCTTATAACATACGGTGTTTAAATTAGTCGAATCTGTATTTTCTATGTAAGCAAAAGAGATATAGTGTATCAAGTTCGGGAAAGTGTATCGTGAAGTAATTAATCAATTCAATTAGTGTCTCTTAAGACAAGTTAGTGAGTTATAAGTAAACATATAGATTAATTTGACGCGTCGAGTTAATTACAATATCATACTTACTAGTTTGATCTTGGACCACTTAAGTACAGTCTACATTATCAAATATCGAACTATCAAATACTCTACGTATTTATGAGTTAGATTGCATTAATATTAGTAGAATTCATTACGACTGAATTATTTATTATAGTTGAAAAGAATAGTTGTAATATTCGAGAAATACAGAAAATATTCTGTCATTATACTATTATAGTAGTAAGTAGTCATAAACCGGTGTATATGTATTAATAAGTATGAGATTAACAATTGATCTAATAATAAATAATGTGACATCACTTATTGGTAATTACTTTATTAAATTATTTGTCGCAGATAAGTTAACAATATCAATTTATATTACTCGCTTATTATGCATATAAAGTAAATTACTGTGCTATCATATAGTAAGAACACGGTTTGAGAGCTGACAGATAAGTGGTTACAGAATATAATAACCTAATTTGTGGGTTCTGTTACTGCACTCGACTTCCGCTAGCAACTGATATTATTTCACATGTATGTCACTAGTTTATTAGATGGTTTCTTGCATAATTAGAGAAATATTCTTTTACTTTATGAGTGTAAAAGTCTGAAATAAGATTCAAATTTATATTATACTTTTTATTGTTGGAGACATTAACAAGTACACAACTTTTAAATATCAATAAACTTGTGATGCCCGCGGATTAGTATACATTATTAGATCGTTATATATTCACGGTTATCAAACAAGAATAATAAATAAAACATCTACGACACCAACCATTATTTGATTAATGAATTTACTAATTCATCGGTTAGAATTTTCAATATATTTATAGCGGGGTAATTCACTCAGCTTCTTTAACCTATATTTTGGCTCAGACGTAATAAGATGTTCTGTTAAAATTTTATTCTAATTTCTCCAGCCCTACACTAAACTTTAAAACAACAAACGGTTTTTGTCTCTTCGTATACGTTATTCTTCAATCTGTGGTGAATAATAGATGGAAATCCAAATTCACTTTTACATATATAACCTACATTTATACTTTACTGACTGGTCCTTTGAAAGAGTGACGACTGAGGAGTGCTTTGTCTTTTGTGAACTTCATGGTGCTTATAGGCGGTATATACAATTATAGATCATAAAATTTTAATATATGTATACTACCATAGATATAATCATAATTAATAAAATATATTATGATCCTTTTATATATTATGTTATGACCATAGTCTACTATTCCTCCACATGGCTTGACAAGTGAAAACAGAAAACAAAAGTTTCAATATATTGTTAAAGATTGTTCATTGTATTGTAAATTTAGTACTTGCTTATTTAGTACTATAAAGAAAAGCTGTTAGTTTAATATTGAATAACTAGTGTAACCAGTACAGGACTTATATTTAGACCGGTTCTGAGATGTAGGCAGAAAGGTACGGGTGCATAGAGGTCTGATTCAGAGGACGATGACTCAGATCCACAAGTGAAGATTCAGAGATAAGCACAAAAGTGTTGTTATAAAAACACATCTACAACTATATAAATTATATGCACCCACAATAATGAAATTTAAAAATATTATAAATCTATCACTGGAGATACTTCTTGTTACATTTATAATACATCTGATGATAATAAATCTCAGGAACCCTACTTTAAAAGTGTAACAATTATTTATTACAGAATGAACAAGGTATATAAAAAAATTAATCTGTTTGAGTATTAAATCATTAAAAAAATAAACCCAATAGAACAGACAGATACGATTCTTAAAAAATGTAAACCCTCTAAATAAAATTTATGGACTGCTCAGGTTTAAACAGGTGCCTGCATCCGAAGTTCAATTCTTTACAGTTTATGGTGTTGCATTATAGGCACCGACACCCTCTTTTATGCTTTAACTGCTAGGATTATAGAACGTTTAAGTGGTACCATAAAATAACCATTCAGTTACTACCTGAAGAAGAAATAAATTACTTAACAGGATAATGCTTTTACATCCGGAATGTTTTGTACGTGTCGCGTATAACCTTATG